CCCCCCCCCGTGATATTCGCCGTACCACTCAGAACAGAGTTGAGCCCTATAGCTTTTCTTGGCTTGAGCCAGATGCACTCAGGCCCTCAGGTCAGGACCGTCCTGAGCAGGCTGATGCTAGCCATCTTCACCCAGCACTATTGGCTGGCGAGAGTTACTGCCACTGCCGCCATCGCTAAGCGTTATATGCACTGGTGGTCGAGTGCGGCCGCGTCGGTCGCCAATTTCAGCGCCCCCAGAAGCCCCGGATGGTGTCTGGGTGCCGCGATCTCTATGTGCGCATCCTTTCGTTGAAGTGGCAGCCACACCGAGGGTCCTGTCTGTTACAGTACTGCTCGGTCTCTTTAGACTCTCGCTGTTGTCATTCCCCAATCTCCCGAATCTTGTTGAAGCCTATCGCAGAACTTTCCGTCCCTTACAATGCGTGGTGTGCCTGGCCTCAACCTGGACAAAGTGCAGCCTGTCATGGACGCGCCGCCAATTAAGCCGCGAGAGGTTGCACCCTTCCTTCGCAGCCTGCGCCGTATGCTCGATGATGAGAGCAACCAGATTCTGCGGTGGACACCTAACGGCCGCGCCTTCGAGATCCTCGACATGGACCGAATGATGAACGAGGTGCTGCCCAAGTACTTTAAGCACCGCAAGTACACAAGCTTCCAGCGTCAGCTCAACTACTTTAGCTTCAAGAAGTGGACCAAATCCAAGGCTGTCGTCTGCACATTCTCTAACGATTGCTTCTTACGCGACCGCCCCGATCTCTCGTGGCGCATCACACGCAAGAAATCGGTGCACACGGGCGGCTTCACGCCGCGGAAGTCCCGACCAGCGACCGTGGATACACCACCAAAGACTAAAGGCAATCTTGAACCCACCAAGCTCCAGCTCGTCCCGCGCAAAGGCTCATGGAAGCGAGATATCGCCATCCGCGTGCCGCGAGTGCCCAGTGCCGTGCTGATTGGCAGTCCATATGCCAGGGGCTGCCCGTTTCCGTCGCCTACCGATGTGGACATGATGCTTATGGAGAGCGACGTAGAGCCCCAGAAGTATAACCACCCGAGCAACAACTTTGTCTCGCCGACCCTAAGTGAGCAGGAAGTGGACTCGCTCGAGTGGATCGACAACTTTCTACCTTCATTCGAGGCAGCCCCTCAGCAAGACGAGCCAATGTTCGTCGGGAACACCGTGGACGTGACCGCGAGTGCACTCAAGCGCCAGACGACGCATTATCTTTTCCCCTCGCTGCATTCAGTAACAGGAGACTACGTGTGTCTGACTTCCATGTAAAAAGACGTCATTGCCTACCAGTATTTGTCAGTAAGCTAATAACGCGCAGCAAGTGAGTTTGACATCAAATAATCTAGACTCGATTATCGAAAATGAACATGTACTTCAGTAAAACCTGTCCTACCTGATATGATACCTGGACGACTCCTCTATTAGGTATAGCAGCATATCATGTTACTCAGGTCGTCTTCAGTAAACAGGTCATTGCTAGAGTTATAAGGTCGGTTAAGGGCGCCAATATCACGCTTATGAACGAGATGAGGAACATGTCGGCTTAGAGAAGCATAAAATGCAAATGTACTTCGCTGTCCGTTTCGCAGACATATTATACTGAAACGGTCTAATGGATTTAGGTATGTAAGTCTCTCCTGGACTCATAGATAAGCAATCACTTGTTAAACTAGGTCATTCAACGCTTCCTTACCTACATGTAGCCGCAATTTCATGTATACAAAATAATTTTATGTCATAATATTAAAATGTCAAAATGTTATAAGGTAGGCCTCCACAATTAATAATATTGACATCATGAATACTTGTGAAAATGCAATGGAGTTTCTGAAAGCACAATCATTTTCAGAAGGCCCGAAACGATCGTTCCCCGACCAGGCCCTAACACGATAGAGTTTTGTTTTCGAGGAAGGACCATTGTGCCAGACTAAAATTTAGTCCGGACAAGTTACAATTTTTGGTACATACCTATTTTAGGTTGCCTGCGTAATCGTATGTGCTCTCGACGCAGTCGAAAAAAAATACAAACAGTTTCAAGACTGCTGGTTGCTGGTTATTGACAGAAAACTAATTACATGTTTTCCACGGCCACTTCGTAGTCGTAGGCTACACAAAAACACTTTACGAAGAAGAAGCAGCAGGGTACAGGCTGAGTAGGTACAACCCGACCGGGCAAAGCAAGCAAGTCGGGAATGGGTATTCGAGTTTAGGCTGGACACGGCTGGTAACACAATACACCTCACATATTATTAAAAAAAAAACACTTGCTGTCCTCAAAATTTTGTATCAGGTGTCATTTGAGCACTATCCATAGAGGTTTATTGGACCTGAGTGAGTTATATAACGTACGACAGGATATCAGGTTTTGAAAGGTTTATTTATAACAGGTTTTACTGCATTCATACAGTACATGTACGAAAAGATCGCGCCAAAATAGATCATGGGCCACACGAACTTTTTTTTCAAAAAACGTTTGCTACATGTGTTAAAAATGGCTTGTTTACAAGCGGGGCATCCTGAGGATGCAACGTAAGGATGGGATGACCCTCCCTGAAAGATCGATGACTGGGCCAGCCAGTCCC